TTATCACATATGCGATAATCGACGATCAGGCCCTGCGGATTCCTGGGTCTGAGTTGGCTTCACTGATAATCGATTATCACACAGGTAATAATCGATTATCAGGTCTCTCTGAACTTAGGACTTTCCAAATAAACCAACTTGACAATCGATTGTCATGGGGTGACAATCGATTATGAGAGTCTGCAGGACTTTGGGGACAGAAGCTGCACAGTATTATAATCGATTATCAACGGCAGACAATCGATTATCAGCCAGTTCTGAACCCAGGGCCATCATGTTGAACAAATCGTAATCAAACACATATGTATGAATTGAATTTAACTCTCTTCTTTAATCAATGCATTCATTCCATCATGTTTGTTCTAGACGAATGTTCTAGGTTTTCATCATGTGCATACCGCTGTAGGGAGGACTTCGTGCGCCTACTACAGTGGGCCCGTCCAGGAACCTTTGGGGACCAACGGGTTTTCATCATTTTGGGCTTGTGTACGTACATAGTATTCAGGTTATGGCTACTACCCGGTTTTGCTAGTCCACTCGCAATATTTTCGTCGTGCCCGGCTTGTTACCGTTCGGGGACGATGACCGGAGTGTAGGGGTGATCCTATTGAGTGAGACTAAGCCAGGTGTGTCCCTGATAGTTTAAGTCATGCATCAAGTCATATCATCATCATTATGTTCCTTGTTATTCGAAATAGCTTTAACAGGTGAAAACTAAATAGTTAGTAACGTGTGGTTTCTCGTACGTTATGTACAGGTATTGATATGGGTATAGCCATATGGGTTATCACTTCATGTTCTTTTGTTAGATTCACTCCTCAGCTTTTGCTGAGCGTGTAGTTGTTTTTGCTACACGCAGGTAGACATGACGGAGCAGGTGCCAACCCTTGAGAGCGGTGACGATGGGGAGATGGGCGGCGCATGGACGAACTCTTAATTACTTTCAATAACTTCATTAATCAATTGGGCATGAACCCACCCTTGTCATTATTTGATTTGGACTAGACTTATTTATTTACTTCCGCATTTACTCTGCACATTTACTACACATGCTTTGGGAGTAACTCCTTGGCATTTATTCCCTAATTAAAACACAGCTGTTTTCTTATTAGATAATCATTAATGTTTTTGTAACGGACGGTTCTCGGACGGTCCTTGTAACCCTGCCGGTCTGTCGGGTCGCGGGTGAACCGGGTCCACGGAAGGCGGGTGTTACATTAGGTTCAGGAACAAACCCTCTTAAGCTGCAGGAGAAAGAAATAATCGATTATCAATTTGTGGTAATCGACTAACGAGAGGTTCAGATTCTTGGGAAGGAAGTTTGGGAGTCCAGGAAGGGAAAATAGTCGATTGTCAAGATAGCAACAATCGATTATGGGATATGTAGCTCAGGCCAAGAAGATTCAGAAGGGCATGATAGTCGATTATCAATAGTTGATAATCGATTATTTGGGGTTTCAAATTTTGCCAGGGGAGTTTCAGGAGTGTTGGATAGTCGATTATCAGTGAAGAATAATCGATTATCAAGGTTACCCGAGGTTCAGTATGGAAGGAAAATGGCTAGGTTATGTGGGGAAGTTATGAGAAAGGATAATAGGGTGCTTTTAAGTTTAATGGAAGAAGAGGAGGGAGATTTTAGTGTGGGAAATGGAGGGATATGGGGTGGAGAAAAATCAGGGATAGATATCACCAAGTTGGGGTTAAGATATATTACACACTCTTATCTTAACTTGGGGTTGAGTCTATGGTGGTCCCAAAGTGGTGATATACAAAGTCTAGAGGGGGGGGGGGTGAATAGACTTTGTTACAGATTTAAAATCTTTTTCGTTTCTTTTGAAAACGTGCAAATGAGTGTTAATCTAGAGTCCTTGTGAACTTTAGATTGTGTGCGGAATTTGGTGGGTAGAGTGAGCAGTAATTAATATGGATGGGTTAGTTTTCACGGTTAATATAATTGCAAGTAAGAATAAAGATAAAAGAGAGAGACACGCAAACTTTAACGAGGTTCGAAGGTGGGGTAATCTTTCTACGTCCTCAAAATCCACTATGTAGTTGGTTGTTGAATAATGAACCAACAATTACACTTGTGTGAATTTCTGCACGGTATATCTTCACAAGACCAATGTTGCTACTGCACTCGTGCTGGCTTTGTTGTTCCTTCGAAGGTCAAGCTTCTTCAACAACTGCAAGTTCCGAACAATAGGACTTGCAAGATCAACTTGTAAGAAA